TTAAAAAATAGATAAATGTCTGTAAAAGGAAAATATCCGACTATGAAAAATCTTTCTTTTTATTTTTTTTGTTGTTGTTGAACGGAATTGTAAAGTCCATTTTTTTTTTTTTTTTTTTTTTCAATTGAAGAAGAATAAAAAAAAAATTATGAATGAATGAATGAATGAATGAAAAAATAAAAAAATAAAAAAATAAAAAAATAAAAAATAAAAAAAAATGAATAAAATAAAAGAAAGAAAGAAAAAGTGAAAAAGAGGAGAGATCATTAAAAAAAAAAATATAAAATATAAAATACGAAAAAAAACTTTATTTTAAAAGTAAATTGGAGTATAAAGCAATAATAATAATAATAATAATAATAATAATAATAATAATAATAATAATAATAATAATAATAATAATAATAATAATAAAAACACTTTAGCAAACTTGATTTTTTTTTCCCATTTTTTATTTTTAAATTTTAAATATATATCGTCATAAAGTCTTTTCATTTTTTATTTTTTTATTTTTATTAAATAGACGGCGATATCCTCTCTTTATTTATTTTTTTTATTTTCTCTTCTTTTCACTTTTATAAAAAAAAAAACAAATATCAATGTTTTTTTCCTTCTTTTTAATTTTTGAAATATAGATTTCAAATTCAAATTCAAATTCAAATTCACATTCACATTCAAATTTATATTCAAATTTATATTCAAATTTATATTCAAATTTATATTCAAATTTATATTCAAATGTTTCCCTTCTTTTAATTTTTAAATTAGACTGTTCTTCCTTCGCTCTTCCTTAATACTTATCACTTAGAACTTAATACTTAATACGTTTTTCAAATTTTAAAAGATATTAATAACGTGACCAAGCACTTACTTGTTTTATTTTTGTTGTTATTCTGTTGTCATGTCAACACACATACACATTCTTACTAATCACATAAACCTAAATGAATAAGAAGAAAAAAAAAAAAAAAAATCCTCCGGTCGACCGTCCCCAAATGAAAAAAAAAATTTCTTCATATTAAAAGGAGCGGGGAGAAAGGGAGAAGAAATTTTTCCCAATAAAAAAAAAAAATAAAATAAAATAAAATAAATTTGAATATTTCTCTCTCTCTCTCTCTCTCTCTCTCCCCTTCATTGGCAACAATAAAAGTTCCGAGGTCGCTTCAAACGGTGCCTTACGGGTGGGAGCCCGTTCCATCATGATTTCGTTAAAATATTTATGGATTAATTAATCATTCATTCAAAACATTAATTAATGTTTTCGGTGAAACTGTTCACTGGTGCCCGTGTTAGTAACCCCTCCCCTCCCTCCCTCCCTCCCTCCTTCTCCTCCCCCCCTAGAAAAAGGAGAAACTTGTGGCGCCTGGCGGAGCTGCGGAGCTATTCAGAAGAAAAAAAATAAAAATAATAATAATAAAAAAGGAAAAAAATATCTTAAGATGAAAAAAAAAAAAAAAAAAAAAGACTTAATGTTGATAAAAAAAAAAAATTTTTGTTCTCTTTAAAAAAAAATTGTTCTGGTCGGTCCTTCGGTGCTCTTGAAATCTCATGCCGAGTCCTTCTTTAAATCTTGAGTAGTAGTAGTAGTAGTAGTAGTAGTAGTGATAGCTGCTAATCGGTATATAAGTCCAATTTTTCCTGGCCTTCATTTTGTTTGTTTAAACATAACAAAGGTATTTTCTTTTTTTTTTTTTTTTAATAAGTCTAATAGATTGGTTAAAATAATTAAAATAGAGATCATTAAAAATATATCGTTATTTTTGAAAAAAAAAAAAAAAAAAAATTCATTCTTTTTTTTTTTTTTTTTTATCTTCGGTCTTTGCTAATTTGATAATAACAAATACCCGACTGATAATTAATTTATTTATTGTTTGTTGATATCAAATATAAATGATTCGGGACTTTAATATTATTATTATTAGTCCTTAAAAAAAATGGGTACAACTAAAAAAAAATAAAAAATTAATGGTAGATCACCACGTTTTTCGGAAAAACTATTGAATATTAATTAGTCCTTCACCGCCTTCCTTCTCCTATATAAAAAAAAATAATAAAATAAATAAAAATAAAATTTTGTTAGTAGAGAAGGTATCCGCGAAACTTTGTAAAGTAAATCGGAGTAATCATAATACTGGGAACTAATAATAATAAATAAATAAATAAATAAAAACAATCTTGTATTCAGATACTTTTGTTTGTTACAAAAGTTTGGGTATTTCCAATTTTGTTTGTTTTTTTGTTTGTTTTTTTTTCAGTTACCTCCACGGGGGTATCTTTATATGGTACTCAAATGCCAGGTATCTTTATCTCCATAAAAAAAAAAAATCTAAAAAGAAAATCTAAAGAAACCAAAAAAAAAAAGTGAAAGAATGAAAGAATGAAAGAATGAAATAATGAAAGGGAGGAAAGAAAAATAAAATCAAAATATCAAATATTTTTATTAAGTCATTACTATTAAAAAAAAACAAGGCGTTAAAAAGTTCAAAAATTAAATAACTTTCTCACTTTATTTGGGGAAAACAGTGCCAGGCATGTAAATGACCTTGGGAACAAAGTAAGAGTTCTCATGAGTTGCTAGACCAGCATAAGCATTGTACCAAGCAAGAAGTGCAGTAATAATTCCAAAGTAACCACCAATCTTGTTGCAAACAGCAGTGTGACCCAAGTGTCCAATGACAAGGAACAAAAAGGTAATATCGAGGAACAAAAACAATGAGAAGAAAGCAACAGTAGACTTAACAGTAAGCATCAGTAACATGGTAGTAAAAATGAGCCAACCTAATAAGAAAAAGCCCACCATATCATTCCATTCTCTAGAAGTTGCATATGCAGCACGAAGACCAAAAGCATCAGTTTCAAGAGCTCCCCAAGCAAGCCAGAAACCTCCATAAGATGATAGAGCAGTTGCACCGAAATTGTTTTCAACAACAACTTCCCACATACCTGCAAGAAGTTGAATAAATCCACCGTAAAAGAATGCAAGACCAACAACACCTGCAGGGTCTGAAATATGACGAGCACGGACATTTACCAATGAAAGAACAAGAGTTGTGAGGGCAAAAGCAGAAAGACCAAGAGGACCTGGGTTAGCAAACTTGCGTGAGGGAGCTTCGGAAAGACCAACATTCAGGGAACCACCAAAGGCAGCCATGAGTTCATGCTTATAAACTTTGGTATCACCAATGTGTAAAACCTCTTGATCTTGATGACTTGATGTGGTAATGCGGTGAATGCGGTCATTATTTTCGTTTTCGAGGTTGTAAGAACCTTGTTTTTCGAGATCCAGTTGGGTGGTCATTGTATTAGGATATTAGTGTTGTTGTTGTTATATGAAAATGAAAATGAATATGAATATGAATATGAATATGAATATGAATATGAATATGAATATGAATATGAATATGAATATGAATATGAAGAGATTTGTTTTTATTTATTTAATTAAGATTGTAAGAAAGGAATTTGAAGATTGAATTAGATAATTATGATAATGAAGAATAGAAGAAGGAAAAAAAAAAAAGTGAAACATTGATGAGAATTGACCTCATCTTTATAGAATTTTTGAAAATGAGGAGAATTACTTTTTTTTGTTTTTAATCTTCATCTTTTCATCTATGTAGTTTTATTTTTTTCTTTTTGAATAGTTAAAAGAACCCCGCGCAAATACCAAGACTTTTTTTTTTGTTATATTCAAAGTTAATCTTGCGAGTAAGGATTTTTTTTTTTTTGTTTAAGCAATTAAGCAATTAAGAATTATATTTTTTTATTTTTTTTTACTACTAGCCCAGTATATACACTGTACTTACCTTTTTTTTTTTTTTTTTTTTTTTTCTTCCAGAAAAAACAGGTTAATTTGTTTTTTTTTTTTTTTTTTTTTTTAAAGGGAGACCATACATTATGCATAAGCTTTAAATGAGCCGCAGTAGTAGCAGCAAAAAAAAAATATATATATATATTTTTTTTATTTTTTTCCCTTTTTAAGTTAAAATGATGGAAAAATCTAGATATTACTTTTCTCCGAAGAGTTCAAAGTATTGGCACATTGAAAGGTGGGGGGGAAGGAGGGGGAGGGATAGAGAGAGAGAGAGAAAGATTTTTATACAATTAGAGAAGGGAGGGGGATTATGAAGAAGAAACAATTTGACCCCTCCTAGTCATGTGATTATTTTATTTTTTTAAGAAATGGATTTTTATTTTTATTTTTATTCTTATTCTTATTCTAATTTTTGTTAAAGAACAAAAAAATAACTCTCTTTTGAAATGAAGATTTTTTTTTTTTTAATAGATAAAATTAATGAATGATTATATTTGATAATAATAAAAGAAAAAAGAATTAAAATTAAAAAGTAAAGCTACAATTTTTTTTTTTTTTTTTATTTTGTTATTTATTTTGTTTTGATATTTTTAAATAAATTAATAAATTAATAAACTTCAGTTTAAAGTAGTAGTAAAATTGTATAAAAAAAAATTGATTAACCAACAAAATAAAGCAGAAAATAAAAAACTTTTCCTCCCATTTCTCCAGATTCTTTAGTACAGTATTTATTTTTATAAGTGTAATATATATACAATCACTCATTCGTTACATTGTAACATTGTAACATTGTAACATTGTAACATTGTAACATACTTTAAGATATTAATATATAGATATATAGATATAAAAAAAAAATTACCCCGCGTTTTTGTTAAAATAAAATAAAATAAAAATCTATTTTTGGATGGGAGTGTTTGGTGGGAAAGAGTTATACTAACAAGGCTGATTGAGTGACATTAAAAATTAAAAAAAAAAAAAATTAATTTTATTTTATTTTTAGAGCATTGATTAGAAATTAAGTAAAGATATGTTTTACGCAAACAACTCTCATAAAATTTTTAAAAAAATAAAAAAAAATCAGTTGATAATAGAATAAAAATAAAAATGAAAAATAAAAAAATTTATGACTTTGGGTATTTTTTTTTTCTTTTCTTTTCTTTTTTCTTTTCTTTTCTTTTCTAAAAAATGAAATAAATAAATTCCAATGGACTCGGGCCAAAGCCTGATTAAAATTCGGGACTCGGTCCAAAGCAAGTCTTTTTTATTTATTTATTTATTTATTTTATCAAAAGAAATGATTATATCACATCATAAAAAAAAATCAGGCGAGAAAAATTAAAAAAATGTGGGGGAAAGATATATTGATATATTGATATATTGATAGATTGATAGATTGATGTGTGTATATAAATTTGAATATAACATTTGTGTGTGTATATATATAGGTTTTTAAAAGGTCTTGGTTAAAGTATTAAAGTATATGTTTGCTACAAGACTTTGTGACAACAATAACAATAACAAGCCATTCTTCCATCCAGTATTAATTAATTAATTGTAATTATAATTGTAATTATAATTGTAATTAACCGACTAGCCTACTGCTGCCCCTCCTTCCTTTGAGTGATCCATCCATCGGTTGGGTGGCATTCATTTTACCATAGAAATATTCTCAATGGCGGGGCCTTTTATTTTTATTTTTATTTTTAATTTTATTTGGGTATCTTTGTGTATGAGCGTTTATATATGTAGAAGGCGGTGGCAGCCGGACTCGGACCCGAGTGGGACACAGAAAACGCGTGCTTAGTGCATGTCTTAGGAAGCCAGCCAGTCAACCAGTCAGCCACACCTTTATGACAATCAACAATAAAAAAAAAAAAAAAAAAAAAAAAAAAAGTTGCGCGATGCCAAGACTTGAATGATCACAAATACGCTACACCAAAAGGCCATAATTATCATCATCATCATCATCATCATCATCATAATCATCAATATCACTGACTGCTTTCTACCTGTTTTAACTCACATACACTTTCTCTCTCCCACCAGCCCCTCCAAAAATCTGTCCCTCCCCCCCTCCTCCTCCCCTCCCTTTTTGCCCCTCCAATGTGCCCAGCAGGAGAAGGTCCCGCAAGGCTCCGGTGGGAATTCTAAAATAAAAAAAAAAAAAAGGAAGACTTTTGAAGTTCCTCCGAGCGGCCTTTGCCATTATTACTATATTATTACTATTATTATTATTATTATTATTAAACATCAATCAAAAAGCTTTGATTTATTTTGTAATTTGTAATTTTTTTTTATATATGAAACAAGTAGAGATTCTTCTGATTAGAAATAGGATAGTTTGTTTTCGGATATAATGAAAACATCAACATCAACATCAACAACAACAACAATAATAATAATGATTATAATAATATCAAGGAACCGAAAAAAAAAAAAAAATAAAAAATAGCGGACTAAAGGAGTATGTTAGTAAGTCTTTCATATTATCCAAGGTCTTTGGTCTTTAAACAAACAATTGACATTTTTCTTTTTTTTTTTTTTTTTATTATGTTAATTAAAGTATTTAAAATCATCATATTAAAAATTCTAAATCTGCTTTAAAGTCGGGTACTAAAGACACGGGTACCGGGTCATGTGGATAACAAATGGACATTTGTAGTTGTAGTTGTAGTTGTTGTTGTTGTTGTTATTGTTATTGTTACATTACATTTACCCCACGCACCTTTCATACATGAACCAAATATATATATATATTAGTAGTAAACGGCTTTTTATTTTATTTTATTTTTATTTCACTGCCTATTAAAGAAGAAGAAATCCATGAACTAACTGATCGGTCGGTCGGGAAGAAGAAACACAAATGGACAATAAAGCAAAAAAAAAAAATCCTAATTTTTATTCTTTTTAAAAAAAAAACGTGAGAGCCTTCGGAGACAAGGACTTTTTTTTTTTTTTTAAGAAAGTTGCAACAGCTTAAAGATGAATTTGTGTAAGTTGTTGCAATTAAAAAAAAAAAAGTCCATTTCACAAACACACACAAGGCAACAACAATATTTGTTAAATTGTTATAAATTGTTAAAAATGTGTATATACAATATCAAAAAAAAAAAATAAAAAAATAAAGACTTTTGTTTTTTTCAATTACCACAGTAAAAGAACCCCACAGATGGGCCCCTCTTTGCCTGGCATCTTTGGCCGGAGGGCGTCTACTAAATGTCCGCTTAACGTGTTTAAAAAAGAGGTTGGAACAGGTAGACTTGAGACTTGAGACTTGGCGATGGTGATAGTGGGGAGGAAGAAAAGAAGAAAAAGACAAAAGTAAGCAGGGTTGGTTTAAAAGTGTGGATTTTTTTTTTCTTTGACTCTTTCAAAGATTCAAAAAATAAGAAACAGACTTTGGTATGAGATGGGTTTAAAATAATGGTCTTTTTTTTTTGAAAATAAAATGTTAAGATTAAAGAAGAAGAAGATAAATGATATTAAGATTGAATAATGATTAAAATGGAACGTTATTGATAGAAATTAAATTTTTTTTTTATTTTGTGAATATGAGAAAAAAAAAAAAAAAGAAGGAGAATCAGATATATATACGGAGATTAACATTATATTGAAAATATATTATATTTCCTATTTAAGACAAATATCGGAACCAAACTTTTTTTTTTTTTTTTTTTTCCCCTAAAATAGAAAGATCCGGAGGGAAGAAAGAAACAATTTTGTGGGGAATTTTTTTTTTTTTTTTTAAGAAATAGAAAATAAAATTTGACCGTTTTTTTTTTTTTTTTTTTTTTTTAAATGTCAAATAACAAAAAATAATTATAAATAAAAAAAATACTGGGTTAAACATTAACAAAAGATTAACCAAACATGAATCAAAAAAAATTGTAGAACTTTTAAGTAAAAGATCAATTGAAACAACCAAAAAAAAAATAAAACCAATTTAAAATCATTTCATTTAAAATAACTGTTTATGAAAATCATCTTCAATTATAAAAAAAATAAAAAAAAAACCATTAATGAATACATTTATTTATTTATTTTTTTTTTCCATTTGTCCCCAATGCTTTCTTCTTTTCATATGAGAGGGGTGTTTTTTATTTTATTTATTTATTTTATTTTTATTTCTTATTCAAAAGAAAATCGGATTTAACGGATTAGCTAGTTTTCCGTCTATAAGATTTTTTTTTTTTATCAATTGTGTATATATTTGGTTAAATAAATCATTTTTCTTCACAAATATAACTCATCTTTGGTGAATAAACTAATTCAAAAAAAAAAAAAAAAAAAAAAAAAAAAAAAAATCAAGTTAATTAGGACTTTTGTTTTTTTTTAATAGAATAAATGTTTTCATTGTTAAACTACTAAACTGCGGGGATTAAAAAATAACAAAAAATAAACAAATATTAGGAATTACTTTTTCAAATTTTTTTTTTTTTCATCTTTTCAAACAATCTCCAGTTATTAATTTAAAAATCAAAGCTTTTGTAGTTGATTCATTTTTTTTTTTTTTTTTTTGCTAAAATAATAATAATAATATATTTCTATATCATTAAGTTGAAAAAAAAAAAACCAATTCGTATAAAGTTTTATTATTTATTTTAAAAATAAAAACTCCCAAGTTGTAAACATGCAACAGGCCATGAAGTTTTATGTGTGAAATATATATTACCATTACCATTACCATTACCAATACCAATATTAATAACCAATCTCTCTCACCCTCCTTCTCCTCCCTATAAACTTTATTCCACTTTACGCTCAAAAGAACCTCATACTTTAAAGTTGTGCTTGTTTTTTTTTTTTTTTTTGTTATTATTATTTTTAAACTTCCATCTCTCCATTCCCCGCTTCAATATCAATCTCTCTCTCTTTTTTTTTCTTTCTTTCTTTCTAAAAATTAAATTTACCCCATTTTTTTTCGCCAAAAGTTAAACCATTTTACAAAAATAAAAAAAAAAAAGTATAAATACAAATTGACATTTCACATTGTAAAACATATTTTTTTTTATTCTTATTCCTATTCCTATTCCTATTCTTATTCAATATCAATTCATTTAATTTCATTCAAATAAAAAATATCCTTTTTAATTATCTAATTGCATCCTCAAAACAAAAACAAAAAAAAAAAAAACAAACAAAATAAACAATGTCAGCTCAAGATCACTTCGATATCGAAAAACAATCAGATATCCCAGAACAACCAGGTCCTCGCATTGCCCGCATTCAAACATCAGGCGAAGACAATGAAATCATTCATATTGGCGACACAAAAGTCTACAAACATGAACTTATGGCTGCCTTTGGTGGTTCTCTTAACGTCGGTCTCTCCGAAGCTCCCTCACGCAAATTTGCAAACCCAGGTCCCCTAGGTCTCTCTGCTTTTGCCCTAACTACTTTTGTTCTCTCACTCGTCAATGTTCAAGCTCGCGGCATCACTAACCCTTCAGGTGTTGTAGGACTTGCATACTTTTATGGAGGCTTCATTCAACTACTGGCAGGTATGTGGGAGGTTGTTGTTGAAAATAATTTTGGTGCTACTGCACTATCATCTTATGGTGGATTTTGGATTGCATGGGCTGCTCTTAATACAAAAGCTTTTGGTCTTAGAGCTGCCTATTCCACTGATCGTGAATGGAATGATGTTGTTGGATACTTTTTATTAGGTTGGTTGATTTTTACAACTCTTCTGCTATGCTTAACTGTTCGCTCTACTCTTATGTTTTTCTCGTTATTCTTTTTTCTCGAAATTACTTTTCTTTTCTTGGTCATTGGGCACTTGGGTCATACTACTGTTTGCAACAAAATTGGTGGCTATTTTGGACTCATCACTGCAATTCTTGCCTGGTACAATGCTTATGCGGGTCTGGCAACCCACGAGAACTCGTACTATGTGCCCAAGGTCATTTACATGCCTGGCACTGTTTTCCCCAAAAAGTAAAATGTGTGTTTTTTTTTGCAATTTTTAATGCTCTAAAAATATATATATATATATAAAGAAAATAAACTTATGTAATGAATCTCTTAATGAATGTCTTATCGTTTTTTTTTTTTTTTTTTTTTTTTTTTTTTTTTTTTTTTTAAAATCTAACGATTTTACTTATTGTGCAATAAAAAGGGATGAAAACCATGGGATTTAAAGTAAACTTAAGTTTAAATTAACTATTTAGTTATTAAATAAAATTTGAATATTATTTTTTTAATTTAGGTTTTTTTTTTTTTTTTTTTTTTTTTCAAGAGAAATTGTAGAATCTGAAAATGCAAAATTTTTTTTTTTCTCTGGTTTTAATATTGCATTCTTGATTTGGTGATATCTAATCAGCCGTGCGGCTTATTTATTTCTCTTTCTCGAGGAGGTGGGGAGAGGGGAGAAAAAAAAAAAAAAAAAAAAAAAAAAAAAAAAATTAATTGTCCGCGGTGTTTAGAAATATTGCAAAAAAAAAAAAAAAAAATCAATGAATTTTAAAAAAAATTTTTCATAAAAAGAAAAATATATATATATTTATATAAATCAATATTTGATTACAGAAATTATATTTCTTAATAAAAAGTGTTTACCAACGTTTTATAAAAATAAAAGCGGGGAGAAAGAGGAGTAGCGCATGCCTAGAAAAAAAAAAAGAACCCTCCAAGCAATCTAGAAAAAAAAAAGAGAGAAAGAAAGAAGAAAGAATTTTAATTTTTTTTTTAGGTAGTTATGACTATATAAATATGATTATAATAATATAATAATATGGGGATAAAAGAAAGCTAAGATAAGTAGGCATGTAATTGAAAAGAGTTATTATAACAGTTTTTAAATTTTTTTTTAATTTTTAATTTTTAATTTTTTAATTTTATTTTCATTTTTTCAAGTTAAAATAATAAGTTGAAAGAGAAGAAATAGTGTTATTGCTTAATTATACAGTATTTGAATTTATTAAAAAGAAGTTAAAAATAAATTCAAAATTGATCTATTAACACAAAAAAGGGAATTACCAAGAAAGCATTTTTTCTTATAATAAAAAGTTTATTATTTAAAAAAAAATGAATAAATGATAAAGATAATAATAAGGTAAGCTTATCGGTATATATATATATATATATATATATAAGACAATCAACAATTTATGGTTTTTCTTTTTTTTTTTTATTTCCAAATTTGGAAGAAAACCCCCCGAGGCCAAGCTTTTGACAGTTTTCTTTTCTTTCTTTTTAAATTCCATCTTATTGCGTCAAGAAAAAAAAAAAAAAAAAAAAAAAAACAGATTTTTTGTCTTTATAACAAATACCAAGAAAGGAACAAAAAAAAAACATTGTCAAGAAGAAGAAGAAAAAAAAAGAAAATAAAAATAAAGAAAATATGGGGTAGATCAAACGGTTTATTTATGCAAATATGGTAATTTGAAAATTGTAATTTTCCGGGATATCTGTTACACACATATATATATATATATATATAAATGTTTATGTTACAAGAAAAACAAAAACAAAAGAGATATTACAATAACTGCCTAGTTGACCAGATTTTAGATTTTAAACTAAAAATTGTATAAGATCAAAAAGATTATAGACTGGAAAGAAGTTTACTTTAAAAAAAAAGGGAAAAGTTTCGGGAAGAAAAGTAAGAAATGATTATTCATCTAATGTATTAGGATCACCGAAAAAAAAACAAAACTTACATATCTCCTATTCAATTTAAAGAGGGTTATATTAACTATAGATTTAATTTTGTTGCTGTATATGTAATTAAAGTAATGCATAAGAAACATGAGAGAGAGAGAGAGAGAGAAGGGTCCTAGGTTAAATATGTATGCCTCCATATTATTAACAATGAAAACTTGAGGGCGATGAAAACCATGGCAAAAAAAAAAAGAACAAACACACGCGCTACGGAAAAACTAGAACTTTTTTTTTTTAAAAAAAAAAAACAAAAAATTAAAAGATCTTGTCATCAACAAAAAGATTGAAAAGAAAAGAAAAGGAAAAAAGAAAAAGAAAAGCTTTGCGTAGACTTGAGACTGCACGCGTAGAAAATGATTTTTTTTCGGAGTAATTTCGGCGGGACAGTGATCAAGACAATATTTCGGGCCTTGTTCGGAACACCAATATGAATTTGTTGTTTGAAAATTTTTTTTTATTTTTTCCTTTTTATTTTTTTTTATATTTAATTAAAAAAAAACATTGAAATAAAAGAGAGAGAGAGAATAAAAAAAAAAAACATCTTTAAGCAATTTAATTTTTTTTTTAAAAGAATAGAATGTTGTTTTAAAGATTCAAGTTAGAAATTAGGAAATTTGAATAACTACTCAACATAATAATGTTAATACTCATTCATTTATAAAAGGCCTTATTTTTAAATATAGACCCTCCAATTCAATTCAATTCAATTCAATTCAATTTTAATTTTTTTTTTTTTGATTAAAAATTTTTGTAAAAATTGTAAAAAAAAAAAAAAAAAAAGAAAAAAAGGCCATCCGGGATTCGGTTTAATAAAATGAATCCGCCAAGTCTTCAAGTCCTTTTTTTTTTTTTTTTTTTTTTTTTTTCTAAAATTCATCATCACCACCCATTTTAATACACTCTTTTTCTGCTCCACAACATAACATGATCTTCTTAGGTTAAAAATTTTTTTTTTTTATATAATTTAAAAAAATACAAAGAAATCTATTAACATTGAATAAATCTTAAGCAAGATTTTTTTTTTTTTTTTCATTCTAATGTCAAAATCACATTGAATATATATATATATATATATATATGAAAAAAATATTCTCCCTCCCAAAAAAACTACTACTAGTATCAATAATCCAAACCTTTAAAAAAAGTGATTTTACCAAAACTTATTTGTATATAAAAATTGAGGTGGCCAATGCAATCCCCTTAATGGTAAAATCACAATTTCAACTTCCAGAATTGGAAGCTTTGGTTTTTCTAAAAAAAATATATATATATATATATCTTTTCTACCACCACGGCCTTATCCCCGCAGAATCACCGGGAAAGGAGGACCATAGAAGAAACTTACGTACTTCAAGGCCTGTTGCAAGCCTCCATCAAGATACCTTAAGATTGTACCCTTTTGTACACCCCTCCTTGTTCCTTGTTGTAGTTGTTGTAATTAAAAAAAAAAAAAAAATCAAATAGAATAGAATAATAGGATAACCTTATTCCATAAAAAGTTTTGTTTTACGCCCAAAAGTAGGACACACTTTAAAATTGTGCTTGTTTTCAACATCCGCACTAAAAACTCAAGCTTCTTATAGGTCTTCAAATTAAAAAAAAACATATTTAAATTTTTATTTTTATTTTTTTACTCTATTTTTATTCTTTCATTCCCCCGCTTTTTTTTTTTTTTTATTCTTTAAATCCAGTTTATTTTTCAAAAATATTCGTATTACCCCATTTTTTGTAAATCAGTTTAATAGGAAACAAAAAAAAAAAAAAACTATAAATATAGATTGATTCTTCCTTAAAGTTCTTTTTTTTTTCTTTTCCTTTTCTCATCATTATAACTTTTCTTCAATAAAATAAATCTTTCACTTACACTTTTTTTTTTTTTTTTTTAAATCCAACACTCTCAAATACTTTTCAATCACATAACCAACAAAAAAAAAATGGCAGCACAAGAACACTTTGACCTTGAAAAACAATCAGACTACCCCGGAGAAACCGGAACCCCAATCGCCCGCATCCAAACCTCAGGACAAGACAATGAAATCCTTCATATTGGCGACACAAAAGTTTACAAGCATGAACTCATGGCTGCCTTTGGTGGTTCCCTGAATGTTGGTCTTTCCGAAGCTCCCTCACGCAAATTTGCCAACCCAGGTCCTTTGGGTCTTTCTGCCTTTGCTCTAACCACTTTCTGTCTCTCGCTAGTCAATGTCCAAGCCCGTGGTGTTACTAACGCATCAGGTGTTGTTGGTCTTGCTTACTTTTATGGTGGTATTATCCAACTTTTGGCCGGAATGTGGGAGATTGTGGTTGAAAACAATTTCGGTGCCACTGCTCTGTCTTCCTATGGTGGGTTTTGGCTAGGCTGGGCTGCTCTTAATACAAAAGCTTTTGGACTCAGAGCTGCATATTCTTCTGATCGTGAATGGAGTGAAGTGGTGGGCTTCTTTTTATTAGGATGGCTTTTATTCAATACCATGTTGCTTATGCTCACTCTTAAATCTACTTTTATTTTCTTCATTCTTTTCTTTGTTGTTGAACTTACCTTTTTGTTTTTGACTATCGGACACATTGGCCACAGCACTGCTTGCAACAAGGCTGGTGGGTACTTTGGACTTATTGCATCAGTTTTGGCCTGGTACAATGCTTATGCTGGTCTGGCGACTCACGAAAACTCTTACTTTGTGCCCAAGGTCATTTACATGCCTGGCACTGTTTTACCTGAAAAGAAGAAATAAAGAAACAAAGTATGATGATGATAATGATTTCTTGTCTTTTTTTTTTTGCATTTTACCCTTTTTTTTATATATAAATATTCACTAAAAATCATGTAATTAATGAACCTCCTAATGTCTTTGAAAAAAAAAAAGAATTTGAAAACAATTTTAGGTTTCTATATTTAACCCATTTGTTTGCACTGAAACAAAATATTGTACTGTTTCTTGGTTTCTTAAAAAAAATCAACCAAAAAAAAATAAAAAATTAAAAGTTTTTTTTACGAGCAGTTTTTCATGCGATAAATTTTATGTTTTTTTTTATTTTTTTTTATTTTAATTTATCGAGAAATATTTCTGTTAATACTTTCTGTTAATGCAAGGCTCTATATTAGGAAATACTTTAACAGCCGTGCGGCTCATTATCGAGGTACAACAACATACGACGCAGAAAAAAATCAAAAATTTTTTTTTTTTTTTTTTGATTTTTTTGATTTTTTGGCAAGTTTTTTCGGTACGAACCCATCCGTTAAGGGAAGTCTTAAAGAGAGTTAAAAAAAAAAAAAGACAAAATTAATGCCAGATAAAATGAGTCGACTGTTTTCCTAAGATTAAATTGATAACTATTAGCTAAGAGTTTACCTTTATTTTTTTTTTTTTTTACCAATCTGAAAAAAAATATTAGTTAGTATAACTAGACTAGATGAACAAATTGTCATCATGATATTACAATATAAATAACAAACACATTTGAAACGGTAGTTTACACCGTTTTTTTTTTCCCACTTTGACAACCTGAAACCAAATTTGGTTGAAATAAAATAAAAGAAAAGAAAAAAAGAAGAAAAAGAATACCATGGTTATACTGCCTTGAAAGACTATTTGTTCAATTATCGTGACTCATTTTAGATAAGAAGAAAAAAAAAAAAAAAAAAGAGAAGTTTGAATCTACTTCTGATTTCATTTTTTTTTGGCGCGCTGATAAGACCAGAGAAGAAAAAAAAGAAAGAAAGAAAGAAAGAAAGAAATGCTTGAGAAACAATTTTTTCTTTTTTAAAAAAAAAAGATACACTTATTGATCAATATCCATACTAAAGAATCTATTGAAAACAATATCTAGTCATAATAATACCATAATACATACTTGGAGATTCTTAAAGTTCATTTGGTTGAAAAGATTCCATTTTGGTGTGGAAGAGAGAGAAAACTAAAAAAAAAAAAAAAAAAAAAAAAAAAATCTCGCGACTTAGCAACAATTACCCAAATAGGAGTCTGACTAAGCGCGGCAACGGTTTCTACCAGGAATTTTTTTTTTTTTTTTTGTTTTTCTTTTAAGCGCGCTCGAAATCTTCCATTTAAATATCACGGTTATCGCCAGTCTTTTGGTAGTTTTAGTATTTAACTAATTAGTTAAAACTACACATCTCACTTTACAAAAAAAATAAAAATAAAAATAAAAAAGAAACATGTCTCTTAAATCACAACCTATCGTCATTGTTGGCGCCGGAGTCATTGGTCTTTCGGCAGCTCTTGTACTTAAACAACAAGGTTACTCAGATGTCACGATTGTGGCTGAGTATCTTCCTGAATCTGGAGGCAATTCACCCTACTATACATCCACAAAGGCAGGCGCACATTTCCGTCCATTCCCCTCGCACAACATTTCAGACGTACGGGAATCAGAGTACACTCGTCATACATACCGGTTTTTAAAGGAACTTTCTGCAAAACATCCGGAATCTTCTGTACGCTTTGTACGCGGATACGATTGGATCGATGACCCATCTCCACTCTACACAAGTCTCCAAAAACATTACACAAAACAAATGCCTAACTTTGATGTCCTTGATACAAAGGGACTCCCTAAGGGAATTACATTTGCATGTGGTTATGATACCTGGGTTGTCAATGCTCCGCTCTATGTTTCATTTTTATATCGCCGACTAGCATTCCATTATGGCGTCAAGTTTATTCAACGTAAACTTGCATCACTCGAAGAAGCTTATACAATTGTGCCAGGTACTGCAGCAGCTGTTATTAATGCTACGGCTACTGGGTTACAATACGATGGTTCACTTGATCCTGCATGTTTCCCGATCCGTGGCCAGACATTATTACTGCGCGTGCCGCCTACATGCCCATATCTCCATAAGACCATTACTCACCAGAACGTAGCCTCTGGGGAATGGACTTTTGTGATTCCACGGCCACTTGATGGTGGACTTATTTTGGGTGGTACCAAGCAAATTGGGAGTACAGTTGCAGATGTGATTGATGCAGATGTTGAAGCCCTTGCTACCCGTGCACTCAAGTATTTCCCCGAAGTATTTGTTGGAACTAAATCTACCCAGGGTTCTCAACCTGTGTCTGCAGGGCTTGACATTGCCAAAGTTAACGTGGGGTTCCGGCCAGCCAGACGCGGTGGGTCGCGTGTAGAAGCCGAACGTGTGAATAAGGGACAAGGTTCTGGTCGAGTGATTGTTCATGCTTATGGAATTGGAGGTATGGGGTTTGAGGCCTCTTATGGAATGGCTTTACACGTGGTAGAACTTTTAGAAGGAGGTCATTCAGGTCTACAGCCCAAGTTATAAGAAGAAAAAAAAAAAAAAAAAAAAAAAAGAAGGTCTGTGATCATTATAGAGGTGAAGGTGGAGTTTTTTTTTTTTTTTTTTTTTTTAATTGGATAATTGGATTTAGATTTAAAATTTATAAATGAATATAAAATAATTTTGTTAATTTTGTTAAAAAAAAATTTTTTTTTTTATATATACAAATATTAAATTAATGATAAAATTAAGGAAAAGTCTGGGTGGAAGGAAATTCCAATCGGGGCTTTCGGGACGCGCGCCGGAATTTTTTTTTTTTTTTTTTTTTTTTTTAATTTTTAATTTTTTTTTTATGGAGGGGTGAGTTATGTAGTGGGAAAAAAAAAAAAATCAGCGCGGGGTTAAAAAAAAAAAAAAAAAAAGAAAAAAAACACACACACACACACACACACAAACAAGTGGCTGGCTGGCTGACTGACTGACTGACTGACTGACTGACTGGCTGACTGACTGACTGACTGACTGATTTGTTTGTTTGTTAGTAGTGACGGAAAATTCTCCTCATTGTGATGGATGTGGTGGGGGCCAAATTTTTTTTTTTTTTTTTTAGTGATAGATTTTCACAGCAAATATATTAGCAGCAACAGCAGCAACAGCAGAAACAGCACCAGCACCCGCAAGCCCGACGTAACGAGAGTGGAAAGTATTGCGGAGAAAGAAAGTTGGAAATTAAAAAAAAAAGAAAAAAAAAAAAGAATATTTTTGTTATTTTTATTATCATGAGATTTTTTTTATTTTTTTATTTTTTTATTTTTTTATTTTTTTATTTTTATGCTTATTTGAAAGGTTACTTGGATTCTTGTTTAGTAGCTTAATTTTGAGGAGAAAAATAAAAAAAAAGAGAGTGTGGGGTTATTCAAATAAATAAATAAATACATAAATAAATATATATATATAAAGACTTTGAAATATCTCCAGATTCTCTCTTTCTTTTTCTTTTTCTTTTTCTTTTTCTTTTTTTTTCTCATTCTATTCTATTATTCTATTCTACTATTCCATTTTATTATAATATCTTAATATCTTAATCTAATATATCAAAAAAAAAAAAAAAAAAAAAAAACTCTCCTTCTTAAATACCAACTCATACAAAAATGTCAAACTTTGATCTTGAAAAACAGGGAAGCCACGACTCAGAACCCCCTCAAATCTCTCGCATCCAGACTTCTGGACCTAGCAATGAAATTCTTCACATTGGAGATACAAAGGTCTACAAACATGACCTCATTGCCGCTTTCGGAGGTTCCTTAAATGTCGGTCTAACAGAAGCTCCCTCACGCAAATTCGCAAACCCAGGTCCTCTTGGTCTCTCTGCTTTCGCACTCACTACTTTCTGTCTCTCTCTGGTAAATGTCCGTGCCCGTGGTGTCTCTGACCCTGCAGGTGTTGTTGGTCTTGCATTCTTTTACGGTGGATTTATTCAACTTCTTGCAGGTATGTGGGAAGTTGTTGTTGAAAACAATTTCGGTGCAACTGCTCTATCATCTTATGGAGGTTTCTGGCTTGCTTGGGGAGCTCTTGAAACTGATGCTTTTGGTCTTCGTGCTGCATATGCAACTTCTAGAGAATGGAATGATATGGTGGGCTTTTTCTTATTAGGTTGGCTCATTTTTACTACCATCCTGCTCTGTCTTACCGTCAAATCTACTCTCGCCTTTTTCTCACTCTTCTTATTCCTTGAAATCACTTTCCTTTTTTTGGTAATTGGACATTTGGGTCACACTGCTGTTTGCAACAAGATTGGTGGTTACTTTGGAATCATCACATCACTTCTTGCCTGGTACAATGCTTACGCTGGTCTGGCAACTCATGAGAACTCTTACTTTGTTCCCAAGGTCATTTACATGCCTGGCACTGTTCTCCCCAAATAAAAATGGTTTCAACTGAAAAATAATGTCTTCTTTTTGTTAGTTTTTTATTATATTAAATATAGTATATTTTTTTAATTGTACACATACTTTTTGTCTTTCTTTGTTGTAAAAATCCAAAAAAAAAAAAAAAAAAAAATCATGGGCCCTTTTTTTTTTCTTCCACAATATGAAATTCACGTGATCTTCTAAGCCTACAAATACGCAATTATTATCTTCTATTTTGGTACTTTTTTTTTTTTTTTTTTTTTTTTTTTTCTTTTCAACTCCTCTCACTTCTTTTCTTTAATCGATTTACTTCTTAGAGATCATAAAAATGAACTTCCCTGAACCCTTTTCTGGAAATGGAATTTACGAAGAAATTCCAGACCCTCAAATAAGAGTCAAATCAAATCATCGCATCTCTATTATCTTCTCTACAGTTTCCCACCAATGTAAGTATTATCGATCGATATCTTTCAAAAATTATTAATTAAGCACTTGGCTCAGCCTCCTAATAAATAAATAAATCAAACTCACCCTCTAACTCAAACTATATAGCACAAAACCTCATCCTAAATGAAAAACAACTCCAATCCGCATTCACAGCTCTTGGGTTCCCAGAACAAACGCTTTCACAAGAAACCATCGAAGCCTTATACTCTTTAGGCCATTCACTTTCTACAGAATCTACAAACAGCCCCACACTTTCATCCTCCCCACCAGGTATAGACAACTATGCTTTCCACTCTCTTTGGTCCATTCTCACCACCATCCAAAACATCTTCCACTATCTCGATCTTGACCATGATATGCTCATCTCTCCATTCGCACAAAACCAAGGCTTTCACCAGTTTACCCAGTATCTTAATTCCACAGCCCCAGAGGGGACCTTATACCCAAGACAAATACCTCCCAAAACAACAAAACGTTACTACATCTCTCCATCCGCTGCTAATAGTGTCACCCTCGACATGTTTGTATGCTCTTGTATTAATCAATACCAAGCTTCAAGACTTTTGCTAAAACTGGATCCTTTTGGTACAGGTGTGATCCAAGTTGATTATGAAAAGTTTCTATATGAAGTTTCTGAGTTATTGTAAAAAAAAAATTAATAATAATAATAATAATAAACATTTACTGAAATCGCAGTAACTCAAAAAAATGGCCTTTACCTAATTATTAGCACCAGATATTCGTTTATTGCAACAAGTTATTATGTCAATTTTTTTTTTTTTTTTTTGTAATATGAGACCCAAAAATATATGCTTTTTTTTTTGTTCTAAAAAACAAAATAAAAGTGCTGATAAATCGATTAGTTAGGAATTTTTAAAGTTAACGAAATCATGCAAAAACCATGATTAAGAAAAAAAGATATTTGGAATCAATTATATTGATAATTCTATATAATTTGGATTTGAATTTGGTATTTTATATATATTTTTTTGTTTGGAGAGGACATCACAAAGCATAACTAAAAATGAGACGGGTAGTTTAAGGACCATTCACTGTTCATCTTGAAATTGGTTTACATAAGTTTTTTTAGTATAAAAACTTCATGATATTAAAGTCAATAACCAAATGACTAATTAGGAGCTTCTTTAATTCTCGAACATATTGTTTTGAATGTTGTTTTCACAGTTTTTTGAATTCATTTTTTGATGGTTCCATAAGCTTGGTTATGAAGAGAGAGGGAGTGTGTGTAAGTTTAACTAAATCGGTTTAATGTACAAATTTAAAATATCCAAAACTTATACAACTAGCCGTTTTTTATTTGCATAAAAATAAAATAGTAAACAAAAAGATTAGCCCTACGGGGGGCTCGAACCCCCAACCTTGAGATGACACTTTAATAAGAGTCTCACGCTCTACCGATTGAGCTAGCAAGGCAAATAACTGTAATGCAGCACCTATATGTGAAAAGAAATACGTGCCCATTAAAATTTACAAAAAAAATAAATATTTTAAGGCGACTTGGACTGAAACGGATATCTCCAGAGATGGACATGTCGACTCTCTTAAACAGTTTAACTGGATTACAAGAGATTGTAAGCTTTATCTCTGCTTGGAGGGATTAAGAAATACAATTACAGCGTTGATGAAGACAAGTGGAGATAGGTTGGGAAAGTTTGGTTATTTTTAACCCCCTGTTCCTCGTATGCTGGTATCAGGACTTATTTTCGGGCTGTTGGAGATGCAATGATGAAGGCAAAATTAAAAGTTTATTATCAAAATGAAAAGATATATAGTATGGACAAGAAGGATAGCGCAGATGCTGATGTTATATAATTCTATAACCCTTGAATAAAAACAAACAAACAAACAAACAATTTAAGGCGACTTGTTCTTTTGTAATATTACCCTCTGATTATCGTAAGATGGCATTAGAACTTAGTTTTGGGCTGTTGAAGATGCATTGTTGAAGACAAATTAAAAGTTTATTATGAAAATGAAAAGATATATAGTATGAACAAGAAGGATAGTGCAGATGCTGATGTTATATAATTCTATAACCCTCAAATAAAAGCCAACAAACTAACAAACCAACAAATGGTGAATTAAAAATTTAATCAAGCAATTTTTATATTTATATTTAATTTTTTATTTCTTAAATTATAAATTATAAATTCAAAGGTTATTTTTAAAAAATATCCTACGTTTATAGATCTAAACAACCTATGCTGAAAATGTACACGCAATAGTTGGCAAGCTACCAAGGTTAAGCAATTAAAAGAGTAACGTTGATTGTTGATTAATTTTATTTGAATATGTTTTTAATCTATGTGTTGAATAATTTTAAAAAGAGGCCCTAATTCCAGCTTACAAGAAACAGAAGGAACTTGTTTATTAGTCCTAAACCCATGCCACCGTTTTCTACTATTATTCACATATACCGGGATATTTATTAGTTTCTTCCAATACGATATAGTTAAAGTTTATTTGGAAGCCAATTAAAATGTACAGAATAGTCTGCTTTTTTACACTCCCGAGTAGCCTGAGGTTTCATGTGTATTCCGGTACATTTCCACCAGGAAAGAGAGGTGTTATGAAATCAAACATAGTGATTTTAGTGCTTAAACTATTATTTTTTTATCCACATCTATTTTTTTCTAGTCGTTTGTTTTTTTATTTATTTAGTTTCATTCAAGTTTATATATAGAATTATATGACATCAGCATCTGCACTATCTTTTTTCTTTTTACTAAATGTTCATTTTCACAATAAATTTTAATTTGTCTTCAAAATTGTATTTTAAATTGTTCAAAAATAAGTTATCATTATTGTTCACTAAAATAAAAAAGTCGAAGACCATATCTTTAATTGTTTGTTTGTTTGTTTGTTTGTTTTTATTCAAGGGTTAAAGAACTATATAACATCAGCATCTGCGCTATCCTTTTATTGTCTGACTATGTGACTTGCCGGATTTCATTTGTACCTTTTTAGTACGGGTGGTTTCTGTTCTGTGCGTTTTCAGTAGCCCGGAAGATCATATCTTTAATTTTTTGTTTGTTTGTTTGTTTGTTTTTATTCATCATATCTTTAATCGTTTGTTTGTTTTTATTCAAGGGTTATAGAATTATATAACTATATCTTTAATCCATGACAGGATTTTAGAAATTTTTTGAAAATGCTTCAGTTTGGACTAGAACTCACATGTTTTACTTGTGATTACTAAGCAAGCTTCGTTGGCTCAGTTGGTAGAGCGTCAGTCTCATAGTTCCAATTAACTGTGCTATCTGAAGGTCGAGAGTTCGATCCTCCCACGGAGCAGCTTTTTTTTCTTTTTTAAATTTATTTTGTTCTTAAGTATCATACTTTTGTCATTGGGTAGTGTAAAAATTATTTGACATAACGTAATGGTGCTATTTGAAACCTCTTAAAAAGATTTTATAAAGATGTTGAGATTCGTAAATACACCCAGTATCAATAATCGCTTAAAATATGCTGGAATTTGCAAAAAAACTTTCAAATTTAGCAAGTCGTAAAATGAATTTATTTATAATGAAAAAAAAAAGCATATAGGTTTTATTCTAGCTAGAATAAATAAGAGTTATGTTTATTTGATTGAGGGGTATCGACAAGATTGACTTTTTTCCAATTCCCTTTTTTTTGCACCCTAAACTCCAGCCAACAAGACATACTTTTTTTTAAGTTTATCAATTATGAACCAATTGAAATGGTCTTTAAACCAAAACACAAACATTTAGTGACATAGTCCCATTTCTTCTAAGTTATCCTTTGAAATTTTTCTTTTGTTACTTACTATTCATTATGCTAAAGATATTCCCAAATTTCTGGATTTAATGTGTGTTGTTTCAGTGTTTCAACATGGTGTTGAGATTATAGAACCATCAAAAATCAATTCCTTTTCCAACTTATTTTAAACCTTCCTTGTTCTTTTCCCAATACATATCATATATATATTTTTGCTTCAAATTTTAAAATATTTCCACTGGGTTAGGTTGCTTTAATAAAATAAATTTTTTGAGCAACCACTTGGTTTTGATTAATAAAGGTCTCCAATATCAAAGTGTCTCAAAACAATCCAATTATCAAGCGGTGGTTGATCCAGCTCAAGACAATATATTTAACTAGGATCAGTGAACAAACTGATTTTTTTTGGCTTATTTAATTTTGTTTATAAGTCATTAAAACAAATTCTACACTATCAACAATTTCTAAAAAGATGAAAATGAAACAAAAAAAGTGGGCAATATATGGAGAAAAACCTTTTAGGGTCTTTTCCTTAATCGATTGCATTTCATTTTTGATGATCCACAAAACCTAACCACTGCAGTTATTTTGGCATATTTTCATGTTAAAAAATAAAACTCCGGCAGGGGAGAAGGAGCAAGTAGAAAAGTTAACTAGGTGTGTCTATCATGTTTTATTTATGTATTAGTTTTTCAACACTTTCCAATTTCGTTTCTCTTTTTATAATCAATCCTCTTTTTGAGATTCTCCGCTTGATTTGGAAACAAAAAAGAAGCATTAGAAAAAAAAAAAAAAAAAATAGAATTTCTTGAATAAATCGATTAACAAATTTTTTTTTTACTCTTTTATCCATCGCCAGAGGAAAGAAAACATATTGAAAACTTTTTTTCTCGCTATTCTTATTTCAAATAGTATAATATAAAACCTTTAAATGAAACAAGAAATCGTATCAAATAAAAAAAAATCGGAATATATGTCTTCTCTTATAATATCAATCTCTAAAATTCGTATCTTGCTGGCCATATTTTATGCAGGTTAATGCTAGGGAGGTGCAAAGAGAAGAGAAAAAACATTGAGAGGGTAAAAAAATAAACACTTTTAAAGTAAATCATCGATCGAAAAAATCAAAAGGCGTATTTGAATGATAGACTTATCTGAACCTTGAAGTCAACCAAGTCAATTTTCAAATAGACTAAAAAAAATAAAGTCAATCCTATTTTGGTAACCAAATTTTTGTACTCACAATTTTCTCCTTAAATATTTTTGTATGACTTTCTTTTTTTTTATAGCCATGACCGCCAGAGTGTGGAGAAATTAAGATTTTTTGTTGCCGTTCTGTAAACCAGATTTTTATATGGTTTTCATTTGAGAAAGAGGGGAATAAAAAAAAAAGGTTAGCAAGCTTTATTTTTTATTAAATTAATGAATATATTAAATGAAACGTAACTTCCGCAAAACAAAATTAAAAGAATATACCATTTTTTTTTCTTTTTATCAAAAGTAAATATAATGAAATCTCCACAAAAAAAAGTTTTCTAATTTTCTTCTATTAAAGGTGTATGTTAAAAGTAGTTCTTATTTTGATTTAACCTGTCAATTTTTTTTTTTTTTGATATTCTTTAACTTAACCCGATTAAAAAAAGAAAGTCTCACAAATTTTAACCGGTGAATTAAGAACAGACTTTAATGAATAAAAGACGTCATTGAAAAGGGCATCCAAAAATTCGTTACTAACTCTTTTAATGTTCTTCTATGGTTTTTAAAATTGATATTAGACTGCTAAATATAAGTCTTTAGCCATCTTTAAAAAAAATATCCTTGCTTTTATATTAAATCTTATCTTGTCTTATTTTCTCTTTTAAAAACCTTTTTATCTGACTTTTTTTTC